GATCGTTATTAGAAGAATAGTTCTTTAGTTTCTATAACACACCTACAAATTTAAGAAGTAAGATCTGCTTCCAGATGAAATGTACTGCAGCCCTTGTAGGTTATCAGATTATAGCTGATCTACACATGAAAATACTTACACTCTGTGTAATTCCAGACATTATCAAACAAATGGCAATAGGTCTAGAATCCTATGGACAAAGGACACCACAGAGAGAAAGATTAATTGGAATAGAATGCATAAAGTCCAGATTGATTCTTCCTAGCTTATCATTAATCTGCCTTTTGTACAAATATGATAATGCTGGGCCATGCTCTAGGTAGATGAATTCAGCAACATGGTGCCTATCAGAGAACTGTTGTCTCTTGAAGGCCAACCCTCAGTTCAGTAATAAAGGTTTTTCCCTTTGCTTTGGAGAAATTACATGACTAAAATTAGTCACCACATTTTAAGACCTTATATTAAGCCTTTAAATCTTGTTATTATACATAGACAATCCCTACTGCTAATCAAAACCACCCACATTTTTCTACTCGTTGATTAATCATGATTCATTGTCACCTTCTCTTTCTCCTATTACCACCCATTGGCTTAACACTAACAATCCGGCAACTGTATAATCCTTAGCCAATGAAGGTAAGTCTCATGATTGTGTTTCTGTAACTGAAGAAGTGTCCTTGCCCCAAGCAGAATTTTTTTCGCTCTTGTTTGAAATTACAACTTACTATTCTTTGTTGGTGGGTGTTATACTGAAAATAAAAATAATGTGTAATAATCAATTTGATATGTAATAAGTAGTTCAGTCTTTCTCATAAAACGTAATTTCATATCAGAAGACAAACTGTTCAATGACTCAACGGTGGCTGCTTCTAGGGCATATAAAATTGCTAAAATAATAGAAGAGGAGGTATAGGAACTAACAACTGGTATGCTTTCCAGATAATTCACTTCTTCAACATGCTATAGAAGCACCTTCTTCAGGCATTCTTTAAAAATGAACAACAGGGGCGCCTGGGTGGCGCAGTCGGTTAAGCGTCCGACTTCAGCCAGGTCACGATCTCGCGGTCCGTGAGTTCGAGCCCCGCGTCAGGCTCTGGGCTGATGGCTCGGAGCCTGCAGCCTGTTTCCGATTCTGTGTCTCCCTCTCTCTCTGCTCCTCCCCCGTTCATGCTCTGTCTCTCTCTGTCCCAAAAATAAATAAACGTTGAAAAAAAAAATTTAAAAAAAAAATAAAAAAAATAAAAATGAACAACAAATGTGAATTACTCGGTTGGTGACTTAATGCTCTCTGAAATCATCCTAAACTGCAGTGTTAGGATTCAGGGAGGATGACCACAACATTAGCTGCAGACAATGCCCAGAAGTAGAGAGGTAGGCGTTGGCTGCTAATCAAGAACCTTGACCAAGCAGATGAGTACATGAAGACTGTCTGACAATATACCTATAGCTTCACTGAAGTTGATCACATCTCTTGTACACCTCCAGGGTTCTTTATCCTATACTAAACTCATGCTTTTTCATGTCAATCAAGAAACAAGATTGATTGTTCAGTAGGGCCATCGGTTAGGCCATTTCAAGGACTAACTCTCCAATGCCCTCAATGGATTATATCTCCTTACAAAGAGTCCAAATGGTTACAACTCTTTCAGGGAAAAGATTCCTGAGAATACTGACCTCATCCATAGGAGTCAGACAACTTGAGGTTTTCATTTAAAAAAAAAATGGTTGGCACAATAATGTCTACATTGGCTGACATAGTAAATTGTACAGTCTACGCTCTGGGGGCACAACAAAGCAGTTTAAGTATCTTAACCCAAAAAATCTTGACTAATAAAATCACTCCAGATTTGCTTTTGGCCAGCCAAGGAGGAGTCTACCCACTAACACTAAGTAAGACTTCACATTGTACCTGGATTAACACTACAGGTAAGATACAACTATTTTTAAACTAAAAGAAAAGGTAAACTAGCGGTCTTAGGTAGACACAGGGAATCTTTGGGACTGGCTTTGATTAGGACTAGAAAATCCTGGGTCATGACTTGGGAGATCTTCCAGGCCCTTCTTAGAATACTTCTACTTGTTTGCCTCAGAGTTGTTCAATGCTTGGTAGCCAGAGCTTAAATGCTTCTGCACTGCCCTGTCCTGAGAAACGATTGGAAATTACATTGATTGATGTGCAATTTTAGCATCAGATCTCCACAGATGAAACTTCATCTTCCGGGAGAATCACCAACAGTGGTCAATATCTAGTTAGTCCTTGAGGGTTTCTCTCAAAGCTTTGGCTGAATGAGGACCAAGAGTGGGAGCCTGAGAACTAAATGTTCCCACAAACTTAGGACAAGACTGTGTGTTCTATAGCCTAGAGCCAGCTTAAACTTGGTCTATTGATCAGGGGCAATTCAACTCAATGGACTTATTTTACAAGCCAACCTAGCAGTGTCAGTCCCAGGTCAACCTGGGTTGGATTCATTCCAGTAAACCCCTACTGGGATGACAACCAACCAACAAATTTAAGACTCGTACAGATGATATCAACCTACATATATCTCTCAAAGCCTCCCAATGTCTGAACTCCAAGCTTTCTAAAAATGCTATTTAAGATCAACATTCTTCTCTGCTCAGAGAGATTGTGCCTGGCCAGCATGGTTCAGCCATACACTAGTAAATAATAAATTCAGCATTATCTTTTTATGCCAGATCTTTGGTAGTGTTTTCATCATCCTTTTTTTGAGGGCAAAGCCCATCTCTTGTGTTGCCAGTTCCCATCTCAGTGTCTGACATAGGTTAGGTTCTCAGTAATATCCTTGGAGAAAACTCAGCAGATAAAGAAGGAGGAAGTATTGTGTTTCCCTGGGTAACACAGCTAGTTGGTGGTAGAACTGTATTTAGAAATTTTGGCACCTGCTACCATGGAGAAATCAGGAGACCTGGTTTGTAATTAACCCTTCACAGTAACATGAGGACAGAGGCAGCCCCATAATGTATGTGGAACCCTGGATCATTTGGAGGTCTTGCAAAGCCAAGACAAACCATTTTTTTAAAGTTATCTGGCAGAGAAAAGAGAGAAAATGAAACAGTGCAGACTAGTGTATAAAAGCACAAAGATATCATGATGCTTTGTTTCTGTTGTCTCCAGAGCAGAGCAGTGAAAGCCTGCATCGCCTTGCAGTAAGCCTCACAAGAAAAACTGTGACTGCTTTCCTTTTAAAGCTGTATCTGGTACCAATTGTAAACCATTTACCTGGATAAGCATCCTGGCATAAGAGAGTCCGTGTAAGGAGGACCCTTGAAGGTGGTCAGTCCTCTTGCTCCTGACCTGGGCTTGGGGTGATTCTCATACACATGGAAGTTCCCGACAGTCTGGTGCTGTGAGCACTCTTAGCCATCAGCACTCCTCATTCAGGTTAGAAATCTAATAGGTCAAGGTTTCCCAAATTTGGCATTACTGTCGTTTTGGCCTGAATTATTTTTTGTGGGGGCTGTCCCGTCCACTGTACAATGTTTAGCCCCACCCCTTGCCTCTAACGCTAGATGCCATTAACACTCTCTCCCAAACTTTGATAATCAGAAATGTCTCCAGACATTCCAAGTGGAGGGGGCAAATCACCCCTGGTTGAGACCATTGTTCCAGATAAAAGGATAGGTAGCCTCTGACCCCCTTTCCCTTCTTTCTTCCAGAATGATGCACTTTCTCCTCCATTACCTACACCTCTGGTCCCTCTAAGCTTGATTGACTGGTTATTGTTGGAGTTAGCCTCTGACCAGGAAAACAGAACCACATTACAGCATCCACAGTAGGTGTTTACCCCCCTCACTAGAGGGAACTCTTCATGGGCAAAGATGACGTCTTTCATTGTTTCACTCCTACCACCATCCCCATAGTATGGGCTTGATATGCTTAATTGAATTTATGTTGTTGTCCTAGAGCCCCTAACAGAAAATGGGGCTCTGTCGATTTCTGATCTCACTTAAAAAAGTGAATTAGGCTCAAGGGATCACCTTGGCAATGAGTTGGTCAGGGGGGATGCAATCCCCACACCCCATGGGTTCAGTTGTCGTATATTTCCTGAATTGAAATCAGGGTTGGATTACTAAGAGTTAACAAGAAACAGGAAAGTGTGGCGGAGAGAGAACTGGAAGAGATCCCCACTGTGGCTGTAACGATTGTCCTACAGAAAATGCCACTTGCAAAGAGCTGGGGAATTGTCTGCCTTAGATTTTTAATCCCTCCCCCCCCCCCGTCCCGTAGCCTGTCTGGGAAGGCAAACAGGTGATCCTTAGCTATACACAGAAGCCTGACAGGGCTGGGGCTACACCCAGAGAGAGAAACAGCACTTCCCTGAGCAGCAGTGGGACCTGTAACAGCTAATCTGAGCTTGAGACAGAAGACAAGATCTGTGGCTCTCACCAGGGGGAAGAGGACACTGCAGAATTGCAGAGAGTAATCCAGGAGACCCTGTATTCTGCAAAGCTAGCTGCTTTAATTTGCAAAGAAAAAAAAATAGATTGGGTCGAAACATGAATCTGCTTGGCCTGCTGTTTGGCAATCTTTCTGCCAAGGCACCTCACCATCTGTCCCTTCCTTCCTCATTGAGCAGCTCAGTCCAAATGCAGGAAGCTGCAAGTTTATCTAGTAGAGCCCCAGACACCTGCTTCTTCAGCCCTCCTACAGGGTGTGATAGAGTCACAGAATTTTAGAGCCAGATGGGACCCTGTGGAAGAATGTAGTCCAAACCCCTCATTTCCCATATGGGGGGAAAAAAACCCATCAGAGATGGTAAAGACCATTATTGGCTCTGTGATACAGAGCGCGTTGGAGCAAAATCAGCCTCCAAGGGTTTCTTCAGCTACCCCGGTCTACCCCTTCCCCTTTGCCCCCACTCCTCCCCAAGAAAGGAAACTAAAAAGCTCACTTCCTACAAACTTTCAAGTCAGCGTGCTGGAGCTAAGGCCCGTAGGAACGCGAGTGAAGTATTTGCAAGGGTCACTAAAACACCCACCTCCACAGCCTCCGATATGGGTGAGACACTGTTGGTCCTGGAGCCCACGCGGAACCTGGCCGCCTTGTAGATCTTCCAGTACACGAAGAGCACGACGCAGAGGGGCAGGTAGAAGGCGCCCACGGTGGAGAACACGGTGTAGGACGGCTCGCGGCTCACCTGGCACTCCTCGTTGTCCTCAGAGTAGGTCTCCCCCCAGCCGAAGAGCAGCGGGGCCAGGGAGATCACGGCGGAGAGCGCCCAGGTGAGCACTATCATAACGTTGGAGACGCGCTTGCGGGTGCGCAGTGTGTATTGCAGGTGGCGGGTGATGGACCAGTAGCGGTCCAGCGCGATGGCCGTCACGTTCCAGATGCTGGCTGTGCAGCAGAGCACGTCGCACGCGATCCACAGCTGGCACAGTCGCCGGCCCAGCTGCCAGCGGCGCCCGGACAGCTCGTGCACCAGGCTCAGGGGCATGACCAGAGCGGCCACCAGCACATCCGAGATGGCCATGGACGCCACTAAGTTGTGCGGAACCCGGTGGAAGGTGCGCACACGGAGAATGGTCGCCAGCACCAGCAGGTTCCAGGAGAACGTGGCGGCCACCAGAAAGCCCAGAAAGGTCAGGATAAGCACACCGAAGACGGAGAGGAGGGGGCTGGGGCGCGAGTCTTCGGCGCCGAGGCCGCTGCGGTTGGTCTCCAAAGGGGCGGGGGTGGAGAGGGAAAAGTAGGTTAGGTTCACAGGCGAATCCATCTCTGGGTCAGGAGGCCGGCCCAGGGTGTGTGCAGGAGGGGAGTTCAGGAAGACGGACGGTGGCCACTGCGTCCAGAGCCACTTCGGATGTTTGCAGCCTCTGGCTGGGGCTAGGGCTTCTGGGGATTGCCTATGAAACTGGCCCCAACCTTCTGCCGGCGAGCATCCGTGGGAGACGGCGCGGCGGAGAGGAGGGCGCTGGGCTGCGTCTCGCAGCCGGGGCCCGCCTAAGCTGTCACATGCCCAGGCTTTTCACCTCGGCGGAGACAGCAGTCTGGTCGCCCAGAGCCGAGCATCTCCCAGGTCGGGGAGGTGGGGGGGGCGGGGAAGCTGGGCGACCCTGGAGCGTGTGGGTGCCTCTCCTGCCGGAGAGGATGCTGGTGCGTCAGAGCAGTACTCTCGCAGCCTTGCCTCCGTACCCGCCCCTCTCTCCAGGCAGCGGGCTGCAGCCTCAACTCCGTGCCAGGGAAGCCAAGCAGGGACCTGCTCTCGGGGACCTGCCTTCTGCTATCCCTCCCCCCCTCCCCCCCGCTCTCCCCCCCACCCCGCCACCACCCGTCCCCTAGCCCCACCCCGTCTGGGGCTGCAGCTTTTGGAGAACGAACACTGGCGCGCGCTCCAGACCTCCCTTATCAAAGTGGGGATCCAGCCTACGTAAGGCATCAGCTGATAAGGTCGCCTCTCCCCGCCTCTCTCCCCGGCACGCTGGTGCTGTCCATGGTGCTGCTGCCTCTCTCCACCGGGGCGCGGGGCTTGGTGCTGTCCTCGGTACTGGCCCTGCTTTCTGAAATGGGCTTCCCTCATGGATCAAGTTTACCAATGAACTTCCCTTGAGACATTCCTGTAGCCACCCCCTGCCCACGATCCTCTAGGGGTGGTCTGCGTACCTTCAGTGGGTTCTCAGCTTTCCGCAGGGACTTACATTTTGTAAGTGTATTCCAGGTTAAGCGTCTAAGATGGTATCACACTGGCTTTTCAACTACTGAAGATTTCAGTATACTATTGCATTCTTCCTACACAACACCCAGTGCTTCCCTTAAAGGGTAGTTTTCCTTTAATGAGAAAAGGCAAGATAGTATTTACTGCTGTTCCTAGAGATGGTTGAGGCATTGGAACTCGAATGTTTAAACTATTTCCTCAGAATCACAGAAAAGCTGCAGTCTTTCCAGTAGACCCTATTAGATTTGCTCCCCATGAAGGGAAACATTGGAAACAAGTTATTATAAACAACAACAACAACAACAACAACAACAACAACAACACTCCATCTCACTAGAAAAAAAGAGGGAGCATTTAACTCTTTCCCTGTGCATACACACATAACCATATATTCATTCACAGTAATTGCAAAAATATCAAAAGGCCCTACCCAGAAGTTATGATGTAAAGCACTTTGCAGAGACATGATATACAAAGATAAAATAAACTAAGAAAACCAACATGACAGCAAGGAAAATAAGATGGCATTAAGCATTTTTAAAGTACATACAGTAGGGGGGGCGCCTGGGTGGCTCAGTCAGTTAAGCATCCAACTTTGGCTCAGGTCGTAATCTCACAGTTTGTGGGTTCGAGCCCCGCGTCGGGCTCTGTACTGCCAGCTCAGAGCCTGGAGCCTGCTTCGGATTCTCTGTCTCCTTCTCTCTCTGCCCCTCCCCCACTTGTGCTCTGTCTCTCTCTGTCTCTCAAAAATAAATAAATGTAAAAAATTTTTTTTCAGTACATACAGTAGGTATTATGAAGTCCCATACATTCACAAGTGGCGGGCCACAAATTTGGCCAAAAGCTTTTTAGCTATTTGAAAATGAGAAATACGTTTTGTTATAAGATTCAGTTTCTAAATGAGTATGATAAGCATCAGGAGACTGCACTGGGAAGAGAGAAACTTCTCCACTGGGGCCCATAAGAGAGAATGCTGTTGGGAAACGTTGATGAGACTATTCTTCATTCAACACAAGATTACTCACAGAGCTGCTTAACCAAATATTCCTTAAACACACTGGATGGTGGCTGCCCGTGTACAGTGCTTCTGTGTGTGGGTCTAGTCAAGGGAAAACTTGTGCTCATTCAGAGCACGTGACTTTCTTGGAGCCATAGAACCAATGGAACTGAGATGTAGACCATGAATCTTCGTCTTTGAAACAAATGTTCTGAACAATTCTGCATTCCACTTCAGGGGCCCGTGACCTGGAATAATGGGTGAGCTGCATAACCAGTGGGCAGCAGGCCTTGATGATGGTATCTCCGGATACAGATCTTAAAAGGCATATGGGATGCAGGCATATTCCCCACTGGTACTGTGTGCTACAGCTAGCTGTCTGTTAAGTGAGACGCTTCAAATAGGAGACCAAGCCAGGCGTAACTGAGGTTTTTTGGTAAAAACTGGAGTGTCATATAGGTAAGAATGAAGTCAAATGCTCTCAAAAAGAAGAAGTCCAATGGAGCATTTCCAGAAAAACCTTTTTTAGAAAGAAATCCTGATTTATCTTTTAAAGAAACACAAAGAGAAATCAGAAATTTCAGTTTTTTATCTTAGAGCATGGTCATAATTTTAGCTCAAAAAACATGTAAACAGGTCTACAACTCTGCCATAAAGCACCTCTGAAATGCCAGTTTTGAGGAGTGGAATTTCCTGGTTTTCTTCCTGGGGGCTGAATTATGTCCCCTTCTCCCTCAAAATTCTTGTGTTGAAGTGCTCACCTCCAGTACCTCAAAACATGATTGTATTTGGAAATAGGGTTTTTAAAAAGTGATGAAGTTAAACAGAGGCTCCTATGGTGAGTTGGGCTGGTGTCCTCATAGGAAGATGAAAGTCTGACATACAAAAGGACCCCAGAAATGTGCACACACAGAAGGAAACCGTGTGGGAACACAGCAAAAGGGTGACCATCTGTGAGCCAAAGAAAGAGGCCTCAGGAGAAGCCAAACTTGATGACACCTTGATCTTGGAATTCTGGCCTTCATAACTGTGACAGAAAAAAGTAAATTGCTGTTGTTTAAGCCACTTAGTGGTGGTATTTTGTTACAGCAGCTCTAGCCAATGAATACACCATCCAACAAAAGATACGTACGAAAGATACAACCAAGATGATATACCATGGGGGGGATTTATAAACACAATGACAAATTAAGGGACATCTACTAAAACACATCTTTATAAAATGTACTTTGTGCTCATCCTAGGAATAACTGGACACAAGTTCTGTTGTCTACTAAAGTTACTTACAACTTGTGATTAAGCCATATCATTGGCATATAGAAAGATGCTTGTCTTACATTTTTTTATAATGGGAAGGTATGCATCTATTTGATTCAAGTATAAACTAAGATTCTCTTTTTTTTCAGAGAGAGAGAGAGAGAGAGAGAAAGCAAGTGGGGGACAGGATCGCAAGCAGGCTCCGCACCATCAGTGCAGAGACTGGTGCAAAGCTCAATCTCCCAAATCTGAGCTGATGTCAAGAGTCAGATGCTTAACCAACTGAGCCTCCCATGAGCCTCCAAACTAAGATTATTAATTACAAGTTTAAAGTGAGAAAAAATCAAAATGCAGAACATAACCTTATTCCACCCTACTTGCAAGGATGGGAGGGATAAGATTTTTCCTATCCACCAAACCATCACAATTTCATGAGATCAATAAACCATTAAGGCATCATCATTATTACATAAAATCTATATGGCAAACCAGGTGTCAAATGCATATCCCTGTGTGGTCCTACCACAAAAAGAAAATTAAGGAATCCTTATCCCTATTTTATAATTGAGGAAATGGAATCCTGGAGATGAAGGAACTTTCCCAAAACCACAAGATTTATTTAAATGTTTATTTATGAGAGAGAGAGAGAGAGAGCATGAGTAGGGGAAAGGCAGAGAGAGAGGGAGACACAGAATTGGAAGCAGGTTCCACGCTCTGAGCTGTCAGTACAGAGCCAGACAGGGGGCTCAAACTCACGTACCGTGAGATCGTGACCTGAGCTGAAGTCAGATGCTTAACTGACTGAGCCACCCAGGTGCCCCCCAAGTCTATGCTCTTAATTGGTATGTTTTACTACACAAATAATTAGGATTTCACAACAATTGAAAGCTAAGCCCTTGTCTTCATTGCCTTGGGCTGCTAAAACAAAATACCACAGACTGTGGCTTAAACAACAGACATTGACCTCACAGTTCTGGAGTCTGGCAGTCTGACATCAGAGTCTCAGCATGGGCAGGTTCTGATGAGGGGTCTTTTCATGGCTTGCGGAAAGTTGAAAGAGAGAGAGAGAGAAAGAGAGAGAGAGAGATCAATCTTTCTCTTCTAAGCCCACAGTCCCGTTGGATAAGGGCCCCACCCTCATGAACTCATTTAACCTTCTGAAGACTGTCTCCAGATACTGCCACATTGGGGTTTAGGGTTTCAGCATATGAATGGGGGGCACAATTCCATCCATAGCAGCCTTAAGAGATTATTTAATGGTAAGGGAAAAACCAAAGCAATTTACAGAACTCAATGTGATTCCCAACCATTTTTTCCAAAGGTGAGAGAAAATAAAAATAACCAGAGAAGCCAGTCTGAATGGCCTGAAGGCTTACCTTCTGCATATGCTTAACAATGGCCAGAAAAATCTAGGCTTGCTGTTTGGTTAGGAAGAAAATGGCAATGTATTGTGGGTGGGATGATAAGTATGTATCTAGCCTATAACTGAAAAGACAGTAGTCTCCACACATTTAAAACAACTGCTTGCCCCTATTTATTTAAAAAAATTTTTTTTTCAACGTTTTTTATTTATTTTTGGGACAGAGAGAGTCAGAGCATGAACGGGGGAGGGGCAGAGAGAGAGGGAGACACAGAATCGGAAACAGGCTCCGAGCCATCAGCCCAGAGCCTGACGCGGGGCTCGAACTCAGGGACCGCGAGATCGTGACCTGGCTGAAGTCGGACGCTTAGCCGACTGCGCCACCCAGGCGCCCCCTGCTTGCCCCTATTTATATACAAAAAAAAATCTATTGTTTTGTTCATCTAA